GAAATATTTGTTTACGTGTTTGTTATTTTTTACGTTTTTGTTTTTTTTGTTTTTTTTTATTTGTTTTGGTTATTTTTATTTGTTTGCTATTTTTTTTTATATTTTTTTGTTATTTTAATCCATAAGAAACAGCCAAAATCATAATTGTTGCTTGGGTTTTAAGTTCAGTATAGTTCGGGTATGCTTAGGCTTACCTTTGGTTAGTAGGGAATGGAAGAATGGTAGGGTTCCTTTAAAGGGATCCTTAAATGGATCTATAGTAGGGTTCTGTATTAGGAACCTTCGTATTTCAAATTTACCTTTGGTTTGTAGGGAATGGAAGAATGGTAGCAATAGTAGTGATAATTATATTATAATTGTACCCCATTCCTCCATGCCCTACTAACCAAAGGTATGTAGGGTGCAGGGGGGGTTACAGCGAAGGGTGCAGGATTAGGGTCCGTGTGGTTAGGGTTTCGGGTGTAGGTTCAGGGTTCAGGACTCCTGAATTCAGGTTGCCAAGCACCGGGATCTGTGGGTGCAGGTGGGCTAGTGTTTGGGCTTTACGAAGATCAGGTAGTGAGTACGCTTTTGGGGCTGAAGGGCCCGAGGGTTAAGACGAACAGACAGAAGGCAGAAGGAGACGATGAAGGAGATGATTTGGGCCTGAATCAATTAGCAATACAACTCCTTGGGATTCCCACTTCAACGTTCGTTCTTACCACGTAGTCCGCTTAACACACATAGTTCCATGATTCTCAAGCCTCTAGACTCTATACCCGGCACTGTGAGCTTAGATTTCCCCGCTGCGCAACCCCAGGCAACCAACATCCAAGGGAAGACGCCTAGGCAACGACCCATCCCCCCTTCAAAAAAAACATTCCGAGCCCTAAACCCCTAAACCCCTAAACCCCTAAACCCTAAATCCCTAAATCCTAAACCCTAAACCCGAGCAACGTGCTACTTGGCTATTGCTCAACTGTGGGACTGAGCTCCTCTTAGGCTGTGGGCATCTTGGCGGTTAAAAGCGTTTAGGGGTTACTTGGAGGGTCGGGGGACTTAGTAACTGGTTATTTTAGGGACTCATAAGTACCATAACCCCAATTAGGGTCCCTTTTAGGGTACTTATAAGTCTACTTACTACCCACTTACTAAGTCCCCCGACCCTCCAAGTAGTAGTATTCTCACCATGAATGTGATGATAAGGATAGTAATAGTAATAAGAATCTGCAGCTTTGGGGTTTAGACAAAAGCAGGTCAAGATAAGCAGGCCCTGAGGGTTCAGGCTCTAGGGCTTGAGGGTTTTAGAGTTTAGGGTTTAGGGTTTAGGGTTTTAGAGTTTAGGGTTTAGGGTTTAGGGCTTGAGGGTTTTAGAGTTTCAGTGGCTAGGGCCGACCCTATGCCAGTTGAAGGTCTTGGGGTCTCGGAGTAATGTTGGAGGTTTTAGGAGGATCTAGGGTTTTCTGTTTGTTACTGCCAAGCCCTGGTGCCAAAACGCGAATGTGTGCACCCTTAGTGTACTTCTTCTAGTCAGTAACATGTAGCAACCCTTGAAGAAGACCTAAAGTACCCCTTACAGCAACCCTTACGGTATCCCGTGCCACTTACGTGGGTGGCTGTCAAAACTAGGGTGCCTTTTTGGGTCCATATTATGATACGGCACCTATCATTTAGGGTACCCAAAAAGGGACTTTAATTTTGACAACTACCCATGTAGAACCATTGTAGCACCCTTGGGGCTATGAGGCAAGCAGGGCACCTACAACGGCGCGATCTGGATGACCTCCGCCGGGCGCTCAGGAGCTCAAGCCTCACAACCTAACATTACTTTGTCATAGTTGGGTAACATTTTACATTTTTATGTGTATTAAACCCAACAAGGAATATAATTAAATTTTGAACCCTATCCCAACCATGAACTAGGTTAGGTTTCAGAGGTGTGGGGGCTTCCGACGTGGGGTTTGTTGCTTGAAATTTGTGGTCGCGGGTACAGTGGAAGCCTGAAACACCCTGCATAAGACCAATGAGTCATATAGCACCGCTTCAGAAGGCATAATGCCGTAATTCGGGATTCGCGCTCAACCTTGAACCCGAAACCCTAACGCCTTTGGCTCTTAAATCCTTAACCCCCAGCGATGCCCGACTTTACACCTGGCTGGCTTACGACGAGGCTCTCGAGAAACAGCGGCCCCTTTCGGGAACCATGAAGTTGTGGTTTGTTTAGCTATTGTCGTTGTAGGGTTTGGTGGGTGTAGAGTCTAGGGTTTGGAGTTTGGGTTTAGCTGTTTGGGGTTGTGGGAGGAGTTGCAAGCTTCGTTCTTGCAGCGGGCAGTTGCAACTTGGTTCTTGTGCGAGCGGTAGTGCTGTCTGAATGCCTGGTGACAGTAGTACCAGTACTGGTAGTTGCGCAGTTAATAGTGGCGTCGCTGCGACTTCTCTTACCACTCCATCTTCACCCGTTCATGCAGCATGGCTGCCACTGCTTGCTTTTCTGCTACGACAGTTGTTTTTGTGATTGCTATGAGTGTTAGGGTTATCACTGTTCTGTCATTCTCACTCTTCCCCTTCTCCTGATGCTTATATTTACACATAGCATGTCGCAATACAACTTGTGACAGAATCTGATATGATATAACTCTAAACCCTAAAGCCCCTAAACCCCGAAACCCTAAGCCCTAAGCCCCTGAACCCCTTCCCCTAAACCCCTAAACCTCCAAACCACTTACCCGCCTTGCCCTAAACCCCTAATGTAGGAACCTGATTAAGAAACCCTGGGCCTTTATTAGGGCTCCTTATATGAAGCCTACTATTTTGGTGTTATAGGCCCAGGGTTTCTTAATCAGGTTCCTACATTACCCTTATAGATCCCTCATAGTACCCTTATAGAGCCCTTAAAGTACCCTCATAGATCCCTCATAGAAACCCTTATAGATCCCGCATAGTAACCCTTATGGATCCCTTATACTACCCTGATAGAGCCCGTAGGGTACCCTTATAGACCCCGTTAAAGGAACCCTTATAGACCCCTTTACAGGAACCCTAAGCTACCAGGCTGGGCCGGTCGCCTGCAAGTCCGTGGCTAGTGGGCCGGATCCTCAGGGGCACCGGAAGGCGCTCTTTTGTTGCTTTGGGTTTGGGGTTCAGAGGGCTTTAGGGTTTAGGATTTCGCGGTTTAGGGTCGGGTTTAGGGGGCTTTAGGGTTTATGGGGTTTAGGATTTCGGGGTTTAGGGGTTTCGGGTTTAGGGGGCTTTAGGGTTTATGGGGTTTAGGATTTCGGGGTTTAGGGTTCAGGGGTTTAGGGTTGAGGGACCGAAGCTCCATGCTTTTGCAGTGGAACTCCGGATGGTTACTTTCAAGGGGTGCAGTTGGGTGTTTTGTTTTTTTGGGGCCTAGCTTTTGTTTGTTTTAGCCTTCAGCACTAGCGCTAGGGGTCGGGCGCTCAGTAGAATGCCGTACAGAGGCTTCTCACATCAAGCCCTATACTAAACCAGTCCATGGATACATTAATCCGTGCACCCCTGCAGAACCCCAAACCCTAAATGCTAGGACACCTTTATACATCCCTACAAGCCTACGGAACCTCAAACCCTAAACCCTACACCCTTATACACGCCCCCGAGCCCGTAGATGGAAGCTTAGACCCAGAAAGCCCCAAGCCCATGAAAAAACCCTTCGAACCCATGCAACGTAGAGAGGGCGTTCTTAAGTTAGCACTTGAGTTCAAAGTTCTTGGCGCGCTTCACGTGATCCAAGCCACGTGCTGAAACTGTCAGAATAATCCGGCAACTATCTCCCTTTGTAGTCCCTCTACAAATCCCCGTAACATGCATACCCCCTCCAACCCAGTTCTTCTGATTCAGACCCCATTTAAGTAGGACCCTGAGTAAGGATCCCTGACCCTACAACCCCAAAACATTAGGAGTCGTAAACCTTAAACCCTAAACCTTACCTCTTTAAAGAACCTTGATCAAGACCCAGGGTTTCGCAATCAGGGCAAAACCCCGAACCTTAAACCCTAAACCCTAACAAACTCAACTCCTGAACCCTAAGCCGTAAACCCTAAACCGTAAACCCTAAACCCTAAACGCCTAAACCCCTAAACCCCTATACCCTAAACTTTAAAAGAATAGACTACACCCCAAGCTCTGAACCCTGTTCGGCAGTCGGAAAAGAGCCTTCAACAAAAAAACAGAACCCTGCGCCCGACTCCTCGGAAGCCTGTTCGAGGCCCATCGCCTAAGCTGAGAAGCTCAGCACCGCTTTTTTCGCTCTCCACGTGCGGAGACTCCAAAATCTAGGGTTTAGGAGTTTAGGTTTTAGGATTTAGATTTAGGGTTTAGGAGTTTAGGTTTTAGGATTTAGATTTAGGGTTTAGGAGTTTAGTTTTGTGGGATTTAGGGTTTAGGGCTTAGGAGCCTCAGTATCCAACATTCCCTAGAGGATACTCCTGTAAACTCTCAGCCCTGGATCCCTGATACAACAGGATTTTGGAGTTTCTGGGCAAGTGGGTAGTTCCACATCTCAGGGTCTCTTTGGGTCTTAAAAAGATGCGTGATGTACTTGTTAGCATTGAGGTTTTGTTGGCGGACCCAAAGGAGGACCTTGATTTGGGTAACTGCCGAAGAGGACAGACCGTGAGGAACCTTTGTCTGTGCTAGATGCCTGAGTATAGGGGCCCCAAAAAGTAACCCTAAATGCAGGATCGCCCGATATAAGGACCTCTTTAGCAAGGGAACCTCACTTCGCTTAGGACAGAAGAGTAGGATGTAGGCTCAGATGTTAAGCCCGGGAATAGCTCGGCAAACCCTTCGGAGAAAAGAGCCCGCGACCGCACCGCCATCCTGTGCATGCCTGGCCAAATGCCGCAGACATTCGGAGGTTGAGAGGAGAGAAGTGGCGACTCCGAGATAGATCCCTCAAAAGTAGGATCCTTCGCACACGAACCTTGAAAAAAAGGCCCTCCTGTTGTGTTGACCCCCCCGGCGTGACCCGCGTCATGTCGCAGAGCCTTGCAGTGCAGGTACAGGATTGCGTCCAACGGAATCGCGTGCCGTAATGCTGGCTATCTTGCCATGGAGCTTTCAAAACCCTAGAAGCCTGAAGCCCTTAAACAGGGTTTAGGGTTTATGGTAAAAAGCCTTGAATCCTAAACCTTAAACCAAAGAGCGGATTTTTGGGTGAGAGAAGTGGGGAGGCTGGTGCTACGAAGTCGTTGGTGCCACGCATACCACTGCCGGGAAACTCCCTTCTGATCCTCCGAGGCCTTAGCTTAATATTGCGATCCTTCTTGGAATGCTGATGAACTGAGCAAGGTAGGATGTGTTCATTCGTCAGTGGTGTAGCTTGCTCCATCAGGGGAACATGTACCTAAGCGGATGTTCGACACCACGATCGAAGTTTTGTTTTCATTGGCCGCAACATGGATAGGGGTGGTTGTCAAAAAGATGGTCCCTTTTTGGGTACCCTAAAATATATTAGCTGCCGTATTATAATAAGGGCTAATGTTGACAACCACCCATAGAGACTGTTTTCATTATAGGATCCTTAAGGGAGGGTGGTTCAAGGGGGGAGGGTACAAGGAATCCTTAGGGGAACCTTAGGGAGTACTAGGGAGAGTTAGGGATCACTAGGCCATGTACCCCCCTTGGAGCCCCCTCCCTTAAGGATACTATAATTTTAATTGGTCCCCAAGACCGACCTCGTTTTGATAGACAGCAGAAAGAGCACCCACACAACACATCAATTCATTCGTAAAGGGGGCAAGAAACGGAAATCTTGTCAACCTCAAACCTTAAGATGTAAGAAGCATGTTGAGAGAGAGTTGGATCCAGCCTGTACTTTCCAAGCGGCGTACATTGGAATTCTACACGGTTTTGCAATTTTAGGGATTTGCAATAAGGAGCCCTGAACCCGCCAACTTCCTATTTCCGCCCCATAAAGACAGTTCCCGAGCCCTGCGCTCCAAACCTCAAATTCCCTAAAGTCGGACACCCTTAAACCCTGCAGCCGTGAAGCCCGAGCAGCATTACTTACCCCTCGAAAGACCAGCCTACGAGACGCGGCTCAGCCAGGATACTCCGGGAACAGCTGAAAAATGTCGCTTGGAGCCGCCTCTTGGTTGGCAGATGCTATGTACAAGGGCTTGGCTTGATAGGGTTTTGGAGCAGCTTGTGTTGATGTTTTGCAGGAGTTTTTCATCCGCTGTATGAGTAGAGCTACCAACACCACCGCCGCCTCTAATCTCCCATGCTTGTGGCAACTGTTCCCTCTTGCTTCTCAGGCTCTTGCCACTTCCTACTCCTACCACTGCGACTAGTGCTACGATGATGACTACTGTCGCAGGCATCTACTGTTACTGCTTGCACACACACGCCTCACCACAACTTACCATTGATTCGATTGCCACAAGCGGCAGACACTGTTGCTGTTGCCACTGCTGCTGGTTATGCGGCTGGTGCTACTGTGAGGTAAGTTGTTACTCTCTACCTAAATAATCGGCCCGTGATGAAGGAACCAACTTGCTACATGCTTCCTACATTTTCTAACTGCCTGTAACAAGCTTGCTGTTACCTGCTATGGCCTTCTGACCTCTTCCTGCCTGTTGCTTACAGTCTACCAGTTCCGAGCTGCTAATAATGACCCGCAGTAGAACGACTTTAGGACCACCCCAAACCCTAAACCCAAAACCCTAAACCCTAAACATTCTACTTCTTCTCTTGGTTCAAAGAACTTCCCTGACCTTCAACTCTAGACCCACCCGAATCCCAATCCTAAACCGTAATCCCAATATGGCCCTGAAACCTGAAAGACGTGTACTAAACACAAAACTCCTTTGCACGACAGCCTAAGCCCCGAAGTTCTAAAATCTGACGGTCTAAGCCCTGAATCATGTTATTTCCGTGTCCGAATTTCCGAGCTCGCAAGGTCACATCCCAAACCCGAAACTCGAAACGTAAGCTTCAAAATCCAGGATTGGCCCTCCAACTCAACGGCTGGAGGCCGGAGAGTTTGTCGGTGGGGTTTAGGGTGTAGGGTTAAGGCTTTAGGGTTTAGGCTTTGGGGCTTGGGGTTGCTAGGGGCTGCTTGAGGGGCTCTATGCGGGTGTGATAGGGCTTTTGAGCTGCAGGCTACAAGGTATTTTGCTGTGGAAGATTAGTGAAGCTTCTGGGCATTTGGGTTATATAAGATACCCTAAACCCTAAACCCCTAAACCCTAAACCCCTAAACCCTAAACCCTAAACCGAAGGGCTACGGATTTCGAACCTTACAGTTTGGGGATCCAGAGTTGCGGGCATTTTGGAGAGAGGGCATGAAGAGGATATAGAGGTTAAAGATTAAATACTGCCCCCGTACAGCCCTTATACGGTTGTTATGGAGTAGCGAACCCCATTTCCCTAGCTACTACTTATTACGATGTATATATATATATATATATATGTATATATGTTACGTACTCCAGAGATAAGTTCATGGATGGGTAAACCTTGTCTTCAAGTGCAGGGGCGTAATATCCCCCATCTCTGAGTTGGAAGTCTAAGGTAGGAAATTGAGAAAAACAAAAACCCTAAACCCTAAAAGCCCCAGAAGGATTGAGGGTCTTTGGTGTTGCGGGCTGTTTAGGGTCTAGTCTTGATGTTTCGGGACGTGCTGAGGACAGTGCAACAACCCCCATAGTAACCATTACAGTAACCCTTATAGTAACCTCCGAGCTGCACAATTGGAAAAACAAAGAGTATAAAGCCCTTCTAGGACCCTTATGGCACAACTCTTGAAGCCTTATGGTGCCCTTGTAGGAGCCTGTCAAAGCCCTTCAACAACCCGATCATACAGCCGTTCCGGAACCGGTGTAAAACCCCTAAACCCTAAACCCTAAACCCTAAACCCTAAACCCTAAACCGCCTTGTCAAGCCCTGAACCCTGGTGACGCTTGTTGTCCCATTATGCAGCCCTTTTTGGACCCTTACAACCCCCTTATGGAGCCCCTATAGACCCTGATCCCCAAACCCTAACCCCTACACCCCCAAACCTTGAAACCAGAAAGGCCTAAACCATTACAAAGTCCTAAACACTAAACCGCTGAACACAAACCCTTTAAGCACCCTTTCTTAAACCTTAAACCTAAACACTTATAGATCCCTTAACGGAGCTCTTAGAGGTCCCTATACTGGCAAGGTATAGCGGCCCGCTGGATCCACAAACGGTGCTGCAAGCAGCCGCCGGCTCATCTTCTCGAGCTTGAGGGGCTATGGCTTAGGGGGTTTAGGGGGTTCAGGGGTCGAAGGGGTGCAGGGGGTTTAGGGGTTTAGGGTGCAGGGCTTCAGGGTTTATATAGGGGTTCAGGGGTTTAGGGCTTAGGGGTTTTAGGTTTATATAGGGTTGGGGGGGCTTAATTTTTAAGGGTTAGGGTTCAGCAACTCCGGACCGAGCAGCCCCTGGTTTAAATTACTATATGATGGAGAAATTCAGGGTTCAAGGGTGTTAAGGTTCAGGGTTTCGGCGCCCTTATGGGGTTTAAGGTTTAGGGGTTTAGGGTTGAGGTTTTCAGATGTAGGTTTGAGAGTTTCAGGTTCCTTGAGATCTAGGATTCAAGATTTACCGCATGTGGTTTAAGGTTGGGGGTTCAAGCTTTCAGGTGCAGTGTAGCGCTGAAGGTCTAGGGTTTGCGGTTAGAGGTTTAGGGCTTTGGGTTTAGGGTTTATAGGCTGGCAAAAGAGGCTTCAGGCTTTCGTGGCAGTAGCTCTTCTACTGACGTGGGAGCTTTGTGCCTGAACACTGAGGCCTTGCTTGGGTCTAGGGTTTGCCTTAACCCTGAAGAACCTACCTTTTTTAGGGTTCCCGATTATGATTTCCTTATATAAGTCCTTAAAAAGGTGGGTTCTTCAGGGTCTAGGGTTTAGGGTTTATTTAGGGGGTTGAGGGGTTTCGGGTTTAGGGTTTAGGGTCTAGGGGTTTGAGGAACCCTAAACCCTAAACCCTAAACCTTGTCGAGAGGAGACCGAAGTCGGAAGTTCAGGGTTTAGGATTTAGGGTTTAGGGTTTAGGGGTGTCTGATCTTCAGGGGACTTGATACGTCCAGTGCTGCTGGCCCAGTCAGTGCACATCAACAGTTCTTTCTGGAACAGCGTCGGTGATCAGTGATGACCCGGTATGTGTATATATATATATATATAGATAGAGACATACATACAGTTCTTCATCATTACTTTTGTAATTATTGCTACAGTATAAGACGGTTGTATTAAATATGTGGTATACACATATGTATGTATTTATTATATATATGTATGTGCGTGCGGTGCTGCCCTTTCCTCCACGAACGATGTCGAACCCTCGGTTATGATTCTTTTGATTGAAGTTAGCCATAGTGTCACTCAAAACTAGAATGAAGTTGCCAACACTAGCCACTAGCTAGTCAGCGCCATTGATTCGATTCTTTTGTATCTCCGGAGGTGTGTGGCGGATACACAACGCCTCCTGATGAGTGCTCAACGCTGCAGAAGGGACTGCCCCCAGGTGCACCCCGTGATCCCACGTGGGTTCACGGTTAGTGCATAAGACTTATGACAAGAGTTCTACTAGGGTCTAGGGTTGGGGTTAGGGCTTGCGGATTTTGAGCCCGAATCGTGGACTTTGATGTGTAGTTGAATAAAATGAATACTTGTACTTATTCCGTTATGTGGTTATAACATAAAACATCACAAAACCCTACTCCAAGAAATCGCGGCCCGCCACAGGTTTTCGACCATGCGCCACTCATCAACGCCCCATAGGAGACGATAGTTCCGCGAAACCTTGAACCCGGAGACTCCAATAGCCCTTACGTAGGGAATTTTCCGAGAACCATATAAGGGATCCTAGCATAATTTAAGGTACCCTAAACCCTGAACCCTAAACCCTAAACCCAAATAGATAACAATATGCCGTAAGGCTTCCCCTTCGTTAAAAAACACCGTCCGAATTGCGAAGGCTCCAAAGGTAAACCTGAAAGTAACGCTCATAGAACTCTCAGCTTAAAAGGAGCCCTTTTAGAAGCAACCCTGTTCTTACGATTACGGCTCCTTTCTAATCCTGGCAAAACGGGTCAATGAGTTGCCCTTCCCTGCCCCACCTGGGTTTTGAAAGCCCTTCCTTTCGGTTTAGATACGGATCCGTAGACCTTAGTACTGATATTACTTGTTCTATTCCTTTTCCTACTCTGATTCTTATCACAATTCACCACCACCACTTCTGCTACTACCACTACTACCACCACTCCTCCTACTGCTACTCCTACTCCAACTCCTACTCCCACTCCCACTCCTACTCCCACTCCGACTCCTATTTCCACTTCCACTTCCACTCGCATAATGGTCCCGGAGGTCCAGAGCGCCCATGCAAGCCCCAAAAGTGGACTTCCGACTCCTACCCCTAATCCTACTCCTATTCCTACTCCGACTCTGACTGCTGCAACTGGTGCTACTGCTGCTGCTGCTGCTCCTGTTGTTGCTCCTGCTGCTACTGCTGCTACTACTACTGCCACTGCCACGGCCACTGCCACTGCCATTGCCATTGCCACTGCTACCGCTACTGCTACTGTTGTTACTGTTACGACTATCGCACTACGATTGCTACTTTCGATACTGTTATCGTTACCATACTTCTGACGAAAATTCCGATTCGTGATATTGTTACTTGTACTAGATACTACTGCGGTTGATGATATAAATCCTGCACTACCTTAAGGACCCTAAGCTATGGGAGTTATGGTATATTCCTTATCATGGGTAATGCAGGATTTATATCATCAACCCTGGGACTCTAGAACCTCAGAAAGTTGAAAGCAGAGCAACACGGCGCTGCACAAGCTCACGGTGGAACCTAGCAGCATCTCTGAATCGCAGCTGTTAATCTTGGGGCCTGAATACCTAAAAACGGTATCCGATTGTATCCCCTGGATAGTTGTTATTTTACAGCAACCCCGGTTATTACGAATTATGCGGAGCCCTGAGATGCCAAAACGCTGAATGCGAAAGGGTAGTCGTGGCGCAAGCCAAAGTCTCTCGCTGCAGCCATCAGCTGCGTTTAGGGTTTGCAATGTTAGAGCTGTATTTCTTCACAGACCGGGCAACCACGAAAGACGTGGTGCTTGTGCCCGCGCTTTGCCATGATATCGCTCTTCTCTCCATCGCTTTACAGCTGGTGCTCCTCGTGCTCATCCTGTCGTAGCTGTTGTTCAAAGCTTTGTTTGGGTGCCTTGCGATCATTTCGCGAGCGAGGGGTGCTGCTTCAGAGGAGGCTGCGCAGCAGGAGCAAGAGCCGAAGTTCGTGAGCTGCAGCCGCCGTGCAAATGCCTGCGGTTTGCCATCAATTGGGACCCTGACGTACGACTGATGATCAACACCCTGAAGAAGGAGGGTGAAGAAGGCCTTACGAGATTTCTGGAGAACGAGTTCTTCGTGTGGAAGCTGCGGAGCTATGTACGCAGTAAGGTCTTCAAGGCACTCCAAGCAAATATCCAGCGAGATCTGATAAAGCTGAGGCAGCAGAGGCAGCTTCGCACAAGATCTGCGCATAAGACGCCCGAGCAGGATATGCAAGACCGACATGCTCCACGCGAGCTCTTTGGGCAAGCGGACCAACCGGCGGCTGTTGCTCAGGCAACTCTGTTGCAAGAGCAGGCGCCCGTGATACAGGAAGTCCCGGAAACGCCAGCGGCTTCTGTTGGGGCAATGGTTGGAGAGGATGCATTAGCTTTCTCTGTCAGAGAAAGCTAATGGACCCCCAGATGTCACCGGATGCTGCTGCTGCTCTGGCCTCCATGAGGGCGGAGCGACCTCCAAGCCGCTGGCCGAAAGCACCACAGCCAGAGCAAACCCATGGCAGAGGCAGAAGCATCGGAGGCCTTTGGCTTAGATAGTGAACAGGGGGACGAAGCTTCCCAGAACGAGCCGATCCCTGCTCACCTGTCACCCGCGGATGTTGTAGCCATGGTATCGATAACGGCGGAGGAATCCTCAAATGAAGCACCTCAGTCTGCAGCATACATGATGACAGTATTCCGTGAAAGCAGAGGCACCGTTTGTCTGCCCAACGCTCATTGAGACCTCGCAGACCCTGCGACTTAACACTCACCTGCCACCCGAAGACGACGCTGCTCCGGCCTGTCTGATGGCGGAGGAACCTCTGAGCAACTCCGACACCACGCATTCACGACACAGCCGCTGCCACCGCAGCGACTCACTGCTGGTAGTACGTCTGGTACCCCTGCCGGCCACTACGAGCGTGATCCAAGTTGCGGATCGTGCCGAGCCGGCCTGTGATGTGGAGATGTTTCCACGGTGCCTGGCGGCAAACCTGCCAAGTGAGCCGTGGACTTGCCCACGATGTGGAGCCATGCAGGCACGTTGGGAATTTCTCCCAATGTGACTGCATGGCTCCACATCGTGGGCAAGTCCACGGCTCACTTGGCAGGTTTGCCGGGCATGGAGGTATATTTGCAAGAGCCATGCCATCAGTGGGAGGATTCGCGGTTTCTGTCGCTGCGATTGAAGGCATCAAACTCTGCTTGCTCGCGGTCTTGCTTGCGTTGCAGGGTCTCCAGTTTCGACAGCTCCTTGTGCTTTGATGCAAGCTCAGAGACTCACCGTTGCAACACCGACGGTTGGGAAGGTGAGGACTTCTTTGCACACATCGACTCCAGCCTGTCACCAGAACTTGCAGCAGTCAAGCTCTTTGCAGCAATGGGAATCTCAGAAGACCTTGCATTCCTCAGAACTGCTCCTGTCGCGCCCACGAACACCATGAGCATCGTTCAAGAACTTTTGGGACAGGTTGGATGACAACATGTCGCCAGAACTGGTGGCGGCTAACCTCGTGACCACGGCCCGATTGATCAGGCCCACTGTAATGCGAGTAGTGCAAGTGCCAAAGTGCACTGAACAGCCCCCCGTCTAAAGCCGTCAAGGTTTGGCAGCGAACTAAACTTCTAATTCTAGCCCAGTTATTTTTACTAGTTACTAGTTGCCCAAGGGCAACTAGTAACTAGGCTTCATGGTTTAAGTTTAAGGCTTGGTTCCGACTGCTCACGGTTGGTTGGCACGTAACTGCTCAAGCTCTTTCTGCTGCATGGCGTTGGATGGCATCCATGCTTCGACTGTCAGGAATTTGGAGCGTCAGGAGAGTTTTTGCACTGACCCCGAATGTCGAGCCAATCCCGTATGTACCTTAGACCCTAAAGTCCGTAGCAACAAATCAGAGTTTCGGAAAATTAGGGGTACCTCATGTTGGGGTCTTTATAATAAGGATCCTGCTATTTAGGGTACCATATTAGGGTCCCCTATGTTCGGAAACTCTCGAATAATAGATCCTAGGTCGTACCGAAGCTTCGCTGTTCTCCTGACATCTGATGGTTCGTCACGGTTTAGGGTTTAGGCCCTGCAGCCTGTCATCTCTGAGAAGAGTTAATACGTTCGGGCTTTTGGGGGTCTAGTGCCTCAGGTTCTTTTAGGGTTCAGGGTCCCAGGGCTTTCGGATGTGCGGTGCATGTAATTCTCATTGATGCAGCGCTTCAAGCGCACAGAATCTGCCGAGCCCTGCGAACAAAAAAGGCACGATTACGAGCACGCATCTCTTGCCACACCAAAGCCCGAACCCTAAGAGGGTCCAGTGTGGATCCTACACAACCTCAGAGCTACCGTAGCAAAACAACATCGCAACACATATGTTGGCAGGCAGGCATGGATGGATGGATGGATGGATGGGTGGATGGGTGGATAGCCCTCAGCCCTACACCTTGAAGCCCAAATTCGGAAGGCGCTAATCCCTAAGCCCTAGCCTTAGCACGGTATCTCCTTTATAGAAATAGGGGACCCTAATATAGTACCCTCAATAGTAGGATCCTGATTATAAGGACCCCAAAATAAGGTACCCTAATTTTCGGAAACTCTCAAATCCCTACCTCATACCCTTTCCTTTCAGGCGGCGTCTTCACGGATCCACCGCCCGGCGCCTCCCTCTTCACGCTGCTCATCGGGCTGTTGCTGCTGGCATGGTCCCTAGTTTATTAGGCTTCAGGGCTTGAACTAGCGATGAACCCTAAACCCTAAACCCTATGCCGATCTTCTAGGCTGCTCAAGGAGAGGATCCCAGTTTGGAGAGCTCCGCCCAAAAAGGCCTTAAGCCTTAATATCACAGCCTTTCTTTTCTTTCGGCCAGGGACGTGCCTAAAGCAGCTGTACAATCAAATGAATTGCCTTAATATCACAGCCTTAATAGTCAGAATAGGGTTTTGGGGCCCATCATCTTATAAGTAGAATAACAAGGAACCACAAAAGTAGAATTTGTAATTGTTTAGGCCTCTATATTAATCGCAAACCCCGAGAACCATTTTAGAGTTTAGGGTTTAGGGTTTAGGGCTCAGCACTGTAGAGTTAGGCTGGGTAGCCCGGTATCGGCGATATGGAAAAACTGGTCGGCGCGACGACGCACAAAGAGTGCGACACTTGGCCTATCAATACTTCAAGGTGGGAACGTGCTTAAAACCGTGTGCGCAAGAGAGCGCAAGGGCGAAGCACAAGGTGTTTTTCGAGCTACGGGCTGCCTGATAAAGACCAACATGTAAATCTACATATATATATATACACGTATTTATTTACCTGCACCTGTTCCATTTGTTTCCCCCCGAAGTTTTGAATGTTGGAAATGATGAGCTCCGGGAAGCAGCAGAAGGCAACAAGAGCAGACAAGGCAGGAGCTATGAAGAATCCTTCAGCAAACTGTGCAGAGTCTTTGTTATGGCTTAAGAATGTGCCGCGTGCCGAGAACCAGCAGCGCTTGTGGTAAAGTTGCCAGGACCCCAATGCACTGGCGAACCCGAAATTAACCGTACCCTAAATCCCGAACAGTAAACCCCCTAAACCCTAAACCCTTAAACTCTAAACCCGCCCAAAGAGAAACCTAACGAGAGCACCCCACGAAGCGCTTGCTTAGGCCGGCTTCGTTGTTGCGGCGTTTTTCTTCTACAAGAGGCTTGCTACAGGGGCTCAAGACTTGAGCGATGGAGGGACCTGGGTTTAGGGGTTAGGGTTCAGTCGTTTAGGGGTTTGGGGTGTAGGGGTTTAGGGTTTAAGGTTTCGGCTTCGCAGACCTTTGGGGTTGAGAGGTTTAGGATCTATCACTCAGGCCTCAGGGTCACATTTGCTGTGAAGCCGCTGTACTTGCAGTCGCTGGAGCTCAGCTGCCGGGAGTTTGGGTCTCACCAAGCAAGGCATTTGACCTCGTCAGTGCGAAAAGTCTTGCGCGAAGAGGTCATGCTGGAGGCACGCTTCGTAATTGCTTTTCGCTCTCTTCGCGCCTGGCAGGGGAATGTTGTCTTGCTATTCAGGGTTCCTTACTTGAGCATGCTACTTAACCACGAGCCTTCCGTTTAGGTATACTTGCATGGATCCGATTGGCCTGAAACTGCAAGGTTCAAACGCAAATGGCCGACTATGTGGTGATGGATGAGGCAGGATTTCCATACTTGTTTACCACCGGCAACCCTCAGCCCCTGCACCCTAAACCCTGTAGCTTGAACCCTACATCACACCCCAACCCTGAACCCCCCTGAACCCACCAAAACCTACCTGTTTTGCGGGGTTCGTATTACAAACCTAGTATGGAGTCTATAGGGACCCTGCAAAACAGTAGGTTCTGGTAGGTTGGTTCGCTGTGTTTCAATTGCTCGCCAGTATTAGCTCTACAGGGGGCTTGCCTTGTTTCTGCTTCGGGGGTTTTGATGCCTTGCAGGCTCACCTTGTACAGCCCACCCGAAGCCTGGAAAACCTCAATGACTTCGATCTGGTACTCCTGCAAGTGCTCCCACATACATGTTCACATAGACAGAGACATCTGCATCACTCTTTATGTACATATATGTGTGGAAAAGAAAGAGCGACGTGACAGAGTGAGCGAGCGAGTGCGTAAGTGTCATCTTGCCGCAGGATGGTCAACACCGGCCTTCCAATCTCCGTGTTCTCAGCTTCTAGGGAGGAAACAGATCCAGCATCGAGGGTTTCAGCTTCTGATACTCATGGCCTTTGCGGCAGATTTGGATGCTCTCAAGATTTTAGTTTGAAGTTGAGCATTGGGATTTGCACAGAATAAGTTTGACCTACATCAGAATATACCTGTTATGTCATTTCCAATACTTCGCAAGATTTAGTATATTGCTGTACCTGATATATATATATATATATATATATATATGTATATACATATATATATACATATATATATATATAGGTATACATATATATGTATACATACATACATACATACATATGTGTACATATATATATATATAGAGAGCCCAGATTAAATTAGATTTTAGCTATGAAAAACAATTTTAATTTGTTTGGATATGGCATTATTCCAACTGATCTTGCATATCCGTTTTCATCATGTATAACGTACATACATATAGTGATGCGAGAAGCTCGCGTCATAGATTCTAATGATCTATACATATATCTGTTAGATAATAACATTTTTTGCGAATATTGGATGAAATCAGTTGTATGTCAGGGTTCGTGTCGTGTTCGGCTCGTGTCCAGGTTGGTGTCTGGTTCGTGGTTGGGTTAGTGTCGGGTTCGCGACCGGGTTCGCGTTTGGGTTGTCCGGTTAATGTCCGGGATCGTGTCCGGGTTCGTATTTGGTTCATGACAGGTTAGTGTCCGGGTGCTTGTCCAGTTCGT